TCTGAACCTAAGCATGGAGGTTTTTTGAAGCCTGAACCCTGCTGAGCCAGGGCTGGTAAGAGCTGGAGCTGGGGAAGACAGAGATACACAAAACTCACTGAAGACTGTGAGCATCAAGTTGAACTCATCATTTGAACTCAAAGGAGTTCAAATGCCAGGCACCTGAAACCAAAAAGTCCCAACAAGTGAGGACACTGACTTTAAAACACACTTATAAGTGAAATACAGAAGACACCAAAAGAAGCAGTATAGTCTCTTCAAAAAATACTGTGAAACTACTTATTTCTCCTGTGCTACAAACCATGAAAGTTGCAGGTGTTCTGTATTCCTGCAAACAATTTTGAAAGAAAGAAAATTCTAAAATCACAGTGCATCAGAATGCTTTGGATGACACCATCTAGCCTGGATATCTGCATGTAAGCAGAAGTCTTGAAAGTCTCTTTATGCCTAGACCTGTCAGATCTTTAGATAATTTTTAAGTAAAAATTGCACTGAAAGAAGGGGCATTTTCATTTAAAGAAAAAAATGCCTCTTTAATTTCCACAGAGAGGAAGACAGAAGAGACCAAGTGCAATATAAACACATTAGTGTACTAAAACATAAAGCACAGGAAACAAACGAAAATAATGTGAAGGTACACTGCTTAGCTGGCTTTCCGCCATGCTAGACAAACTAAACTGGTGTATTTGCTCTGAATGCAGTCCTCCTACATATGGGCATGTTGAATACACAGAAAAGGAGGTGAAAGGGCCATAGCATATATAAAAAACATTCACAGTGACTAATTTGACCTGTATCTTTAGACAAAAAGCATGAGAAAATTTGCCATATGCTTTAATGGCAGCAACTCTTGGCAATCAGCAAAATACAGCTGAAAATGGACAATGGTGAAATTGTAACGTGTCCACTGTATAGTACCATCTGTTAGATAAAAAAAAGTGATAAAAAATAACCTGTGGAACTCCTCACAAATTATTGCCATTCACAATCCATGTTGCTCATGGGGGATTTTAACGATACAGATTCGTATTGAATAATGCAAACAGTCTGACACTGATGAAAGTGGCTCCCCGTTGCCTGCAAGAGAATTTTGTGATCCAGAAAGTAAAAACTTCAGCCCCAGGAGAATCTGTCTTGGAAGCAGTACTTATTTATAGAGACCCAGGACTAAGGAAAACTGTAATGGAGGTAATCATAATTGATAGCTTGAATTCAGCACAGAAGCAAGAAATAGGTTCAGAGAGTACAAGAACAGAAGGAGATGCAGCTGCATCAAGGAAATGCTGAGGCCTTAAGAAATCTAGAAAGTAATATGGAATTAATATAGTTGAGTTTTTGCATTCAGAGGATGGGAAAAGGTGCTCTCTTTCCACTCTGTGTTTACTAAACATCTGCAGGCAAATTTTGTAAATACCAGATGCTCAGTGAAGTATCTCTTAACAAGTTGATAAGCTTATTCCAGAACAATTGAATATGTCTGAAGCCGTCAGTGCTCTTGCACTCCACATTACTTTGACTTTGCTTCATCCTGTGCTTTCCAGCAATGAGAAGCAGCTGGTTTAACTATCATTTATGCCTGAATGGCTAAAAATAGCAGTAGCTAATAAGAAAGAAAGAAGATTGAATTTAAGCCTCTCCAGAAAAAAAACGAGAGGTCAGGCCAGTGCTTCAAAATTAGAAGGATATGTAAATAAAACAGAAGAAGGCCCTAAAGCAGAAGCATTACTGGGGTGTGAACCACATCAGCTGACAGGAGACCATCTCCATGTCTTCTGAGAACTTTACTTCATGGCTGAGCCTTTAGAAAGCAACTCCAAACCTCATCGATGCCAGAAGGAGACTCAGGAGGTGGTCAAGGTGGTCTAAATACAGTTTCAAGCTCATTAGGCATTTTAGTGCTATTTTAGTAGTCAGTTCCAGACAGGCCTTCCCCTCTCATTTCAGCTGCACTAGTTATTAGCAGAGGCTCTCAGGACTAGTCAGAAGAATTTTGGGTGGGTGTCCCACAAGGCTCACAGGACCTGGGTGTAATACAACAGTTGTCTCACACCTGGAAAGAGCTACACATGAGATAAAATGGAAGGGAATTATCTAGGAGATTAGCGAAGAGAAATCAGTTATGGTGGAATTAAATGGTGGAATTAAAAAAAGAGAGAAAACTTAGTTGGACCATTAGGAAAAACAGTCTGACATAAACTGCTTCAAGCTGATGAGTAACATGACAAGTCATTATTACAGAGCACATTTGGGATATATCAAACTAGATATACTATTAGGAAATGCATTCTGGAGAACAAGCTTGCAATGACAGGAGAATGGACTGTATGATGTATTTTTGCCTTGTTTATTCTCGATCTAGTATATTTCACATATTCTGTGATGTGGATTAGCAATCTTTGAGCTTTGTGAGGTAATTCTGAGACAGCAATCAGTAATTTACATAATTAGCATAACAGTAATTATATGATTACTGTAAATATGTGTAAAACTCTAATGGTGTAATTAGAATGTGTAATTACTACTTGTAATTACATAATTAGGTATGATGACATAACTAAACTTCTTATGAAAAAAAAGAATATTTACAAGCCCAGCTATAGGAACCGGTATACTGCATAATTATATTGGTGGCATAAAAAGAAAAGTTATCATTTTAATGCTAGCTGTGCTAAAGCTAGTTCAAAAGAAGATGAATGCTAAAAGTTTGTGAACTGTGCCATAGGACTAGAAGAATGCACTGACTTTCCTGAACAGGGGTAGTTCAGTGATTACAGTCAGTACAAACATTATTCCCATCCTTAATTATCTGTTATTTATTCATAACTCTTCATACGTTTAGCTGAATAACATGAGTATAATGAGTAGTATAATGGAAGTATTCAAATATCTACATTGTGTAGCATTTTCTAATCACTGATTTAAGTAATATATTATGTTTCTCTTAAGTCTTCAAAGCACATCTGATTTCACACTCTTCCCATGATACCGTCCCGCAGACACCAGATTGGTGGTACCTCCATATGCGGGTCCCTGCCAAGAGGAAGTACAGAACAGAAGCTTTTTACCACTGCACTCCAGTGCTGCATTGCCGTGTCCCGCCATTTACAACACCATAGACTCATAGAATTATGGAACCGTTTGGGTTGGAAGGGACCTTAAAGATCATTTAGCTCCAATCCCCCCTTCCACGGCAGGGATACCTTCCACTAGATCAGGTTGCTCAAAGCCTCATCCAACCTGGCCTTGAACACTTCCAGGCATGGGGCATCCACAACTTCTCTGGGCAACCTGTGCCAGCGTCTCACCACCCTCACAGTAAAGAATTTCTGATATATAATCTAAACCGACCCTCTTTCAGTTTAAAACAGTTACCCCTCATCCTATCACTACACCCCCTGATAAAGAGTCCCTCCCCATCTTTCGTGTAGGCCCCCTTTAAGTACTGAAAGGCCGCTATAAGGTCTCCATGGAGCCTTCTCTTCTCCAGGCTAAACAACCTCAGCTCTCTCAGCCTGTACACACTTTGCAGCTGAGAAATTAATAGCTACTGCAAAGCACGTTTTAAAACTCATTGTCCTTGATCTCTACACCAAAGCAGTTTGACTGTTGTATAGAGCCTTATCATAATTATAAAAATTCTTTAACACTCAATAGAATTATCCTTTCAAATAACTTAGTGTTCTTCTCTATAAGCTAGATGATGGAGTCCTGGGTCACAGCTGTCAGCATTTATCTACAGAAGCATCTCCAGAAAGATCATTTGACTAGGTGATTGGCTTACCAGTGTAAATCCCCAAAGTATGACCCAGAAATCTTTGATTTCTCTCTAGAATTATATACACATTATGTTAGATGCCTCAAATCTTCTGCCTGTTGCATGTATAAATCTGGGAATTCACTGAGGCTACTTCAAAAAATTCCTAGCTTGTAATTTGTGGTTATCGGTCCATCTTGTTTTCTTCTCCATTCTTCCCCATGCATCCACAATGTAAGCATAGAAAAATGAATCATATTTTTCAACTTTGTTATGGTTTCATTTATTTAGTATTCAACTTTTTTATTTTTCCTGCCACACATAGTAGATTTTCCTTGAACTAGAAATCCCGTTTCTTGAATGTTGATGACTCCAGTATTTCAGGTATTTTGAATGTAGTATCCAATACTACAAATACTAATACACGAATACTTTCCTTTTTCTCCTTAAGGTACCAGGCTTGACATATCTTGGGACTATATTAGCTTTTTCCACAACACCATCATATTAGCATCTTCTGTTCAACTGAAAGTCACAGGCTTTCTTCTCTGCAGTATTTCAAATCCATGAACCTCTAACATCTGTTACTAACCATTAAGTTAAGGTATATTACATTTTGTACCATAACAGTTTATTCTATTTTTGTTATTTTGGTCTTCAGGATTACCTAGTCTTACATATGTGAAGAACTCCTTTGTAGTAACAGCTTTAGGAATCAAACATTTACAGTGCATTCATAGTCAATGTTGTTGGTAAAATCATGTGAGATTGTTCCCAGGACAGATCCTGAAGGAACTCCACTAATGACTTCTCTGTAAACTACTGGTCCAACTTTCAGAGGCTAGACACATGTCAGAGAAAGTGACATATTTTTGCCCTGCTCTTACACTTGTTGATAGCTGCTAATAATTACTGTTGAAGACAGGATACTTGACGAGATGAACGCCTAACCTGAATCAGTTTTTGTATTTTTCTACTTTACACTATTTACTCCTTCTTGTTTGACTCTTAGATAATAATTTTGCATTTTGCAAATGTTTCCTTCACATCAGATGCTTTACTTGACTGCATGACAGGTTTGGTCTCTTAAATTTCCTCCATTTTGAAAAGAATAAGATGGCTATTTTGAGCATTATGTATTTGTAGAGACATATTTCCATAGTATACTATAGTTGTTTCTGCAAAACAAAACATTCATTTATTTTATTTTAAAAAATAGATGTAAAAATGTATATACAATACTTACTCTGTTGGCAGTTTCTTCCCATAAATTCACCTGGACATTCACAGGAATAGTTGGCAACAAGATCTGTACAGATTCCACCATTCTTGCAGGGTTCAGCTTCACATTCGTTTACATCTGCAGGAAGCACACAAGATGGCAGGATTAGCAAAAATAAATTGTAAAAGCAATAAGCACATGTTTTAAAGCACTAAAACACAACATATTCATACAATTGATATTAGAAGACATATGTTCTTTTGCCCAGCAGCCACGCTCAGTAAAGGATGTGATTAAACAGGACGTGCTTTAGGAAAAAAACAAAGCAATCTGATATAAATTTAGCTAGTTTCATATACCTGCTAAAGTTTTGCTATGTGCCATCACACAACAGATTTTAAAGTTTAGCTCAGGGATTTTCACTGTAACTTCCAGAGGACATCAGGGCCACAAATCAGTTTGTCCTTAAATAAACAAATTCAATTAGTTCTGACAGAGTACTCATTAGTGATCCTTGCAACTTCAAAAAATTTAGCTACTTCTTTATCAACAGATGCCAGTTAAAAATGTCTCTCAGTTCATCTTAACTCATTAAACATCTAATTGACAAGGTTGTTTAACCGTCTAAAAAATTTCCTTTCTGTGCATGAGTTAGTGGGCAAATTGAAACTAATAGCTTGATCTAGAAGCTTGCAAATTTTATTAAATTCAAAAGACAGAAAAGGTGGTTAATTTTGTTTGAGTTTCCTTTTTCCAGTACACTTTGTCAAATGCTGCAAGAATAATACTCCCCAGTGTTTTTCAGTGTAGTAACCTTCAAGTATAGTATCAGATTCTTTTTCTCAAATGCAATATAGTATTTTTCAGTCATCATAAATAGGCAGATGAAGGATAACAATATCTCATAATTAAAATTCTCCATCTCTGCATTAATGTTTATTCTGTATGGAGTAGAAACGTTGTATGGATTTTATACATCATTGTCTCAAAGGGCTGCATCAATGTATACAGTTACATATTTAAAAGATGGTAGCCCACACTGGCTTCATTAAGAGTTGAACTGCTGTTGCATTAGACACTGTGAACAGCAAACAGAAAAGCAGTCTTCAGCTCGTACTACAATTTTATTTTGCTGAGTTTTGCTTAAGTGCATTTCATTTTGGATACAGTTGCTGATAAAGTGCACATGTGCATAGCACACGAACAGGTTGAAATGAGAAGATACTCAACAGAGATGAACTGGTTGCATTCATTGGTGGGCCCTATGAATTGAAGTAATACTCCTCACTATTGTGTTGAATCTGCTTCTGTCCCCAAAATGCAAACCCGGTTTGCGCTGCCATATACAAACTAAAGAAGATGCTACATAAGTGTCTAAACCTGATGCAATAAGGCTTGTGCAGGAGAAGCAGAATTCAGCTCTGCCAAAAAAGGTGCTTGATTTCTGGTAGTTGAGTATGCAACTTTTGTACTTTCAATTTGATCTTTTACATTTATTAGGAATCTATGTACAAAAATTCAGTGTTTTAACACATGTCTGGCCTAGATCTGATAGATTTTGTTATGTCTCCAGGGAAGTCTGTACCTCCAGTCTTTTCTGCAGATCTAAAAGCTGTGTAGCTTTTAAGTTATATGTGCAATGTATGTGAGGTAGGTTGAAAACTGGCTGAATGGCAGGCCCCAGATGGTGTTGATAGTGGTATGAAGTCTAGTTGGAGGCCAGTACACCCAGAGCCAATACTGGTCCGATCCTGTTCAAAATCTTTGTTAATGACCCAGACACTGGGACAGAGTGCACCCTCACCAAGCTTGCCGATGCCACAAAACTGGGAGGAGTGGCTGATACAACAGATGGGTGTGCTGCCGTCCAGAGGGACCTCAACAAGCTGCAGAAATGGGCTGAACAGGAGCCTCGTGAAGTTCAACAAGGGGAGGTGCAAAGTCCTGCCCCTGCCCCTGAGGAGGAACAGCCCCGTGCACCAGTACACGCTGGCAAGCTGACCAGCTGGAAAGCAGCTTGGCAGAGAAGGACCTGGGGGTCCTGGTGGACCACACGTTGACCATGAGACAGCAATGCACCCTCATGGCAAAGAAGGCCAGCAGCCTGCTGGGCTGCATTAGGCAGGGCATTGCTGCAGGCTGAGGGAGGTGATCCTTCCCCTCTACTCCGCACTGGTAGGACCACACCTAGAGCGCTGCATCCAGTGCTGGGCTCCCCACTACTAAAAAGACATGGACTTACTGGAGTGAGTCCAACAAAGGGCCACTAAGATGATTAAAGGACTGGAGCACCTTGCCTATGAGGAAAGGCTGAGAGAGCTGGCACTGTTTAGCTTAAAGAAGAGGAGAGTCAGGAGGAAACTCATCAATGTATATAAATACCTGAGGGAGGGTGCAAGGAAGATGGAGCCAGGCTCTTTTCAGTGGTGCCCAGTGACAGGACAAGAGGCAATGGGCACAAACTGAAACACAGGATGTTCCATATCAACGTCAGAAAACTTTTTTTTTACTGTGAGGGTGACTGAGCAGTTGCATAGGTTGCCCAGGGTGTTTGTGGAGTCTCCACCCTTGGAGATATTCAGAAACCATCTGGATATAGTGCTGGGCAACCAGCTCTAGGTGGCCCTGCTTGAGCAGGAGGGGGTGGACCAGATGACCTCCAGAGGCAAGCTGACCAGCTGGAAAGCAGCTTGGCAGAGAAGGACCTGGGGGTCCTGGTGGACCACACGTTGACCATGAGACAGCAATGCACCCTCATGGCAAAGAAAGCCAACAGCCTGCTGGGCTACATTAGGCAGAGCATTGCCAGCAGGCTTCGACCCTATCCTCCCTTCAACCCTCAACCCTTCTGTGATTCTGTGATAATCCTCCCGGTGCTGTGAACAGAACTGCAGGGACAGACCTTCAGCTAAATGTGGAGGCCAGTTTCAGTTCTTTGAACCAAAAAATTTCAGATTTTTATACTAAAATTGATGATGGATACTGATCTCTGAGCTTCTTTTTAATCCCTCGTGTCTTACTGTTTGTTGCCAATAAAGATATCACATACTGGACTAATAAAAATTCACAGGGCTAGCTGAACTTCTGTCTATTAAAGAAGGAGAAGAGGAGTAACAGCTTAGTGTGCAAGAAATGAAACCTGCCAAGGGAAATGGCCAAGGAACAGACCTGCTCAATTCTAAATTAAATTTTTTATATAAATTTATGAAATTTAACAAGATTCTTCAGCTCCCTATTTGCCTTTTTAAGCAAAGCCCATTAACCTTACATTTTCATCAGGTTATTCATCATTTTAATACAGGCTAACACATTTGTGGGAAAAAAATATCAAGGTCACTGTGAACTAAAAAACACTAAGTGAACATATGAACTATCTCTTACTTGGTTAAATAAAGGTAGTAATTTACCCTCTTAAAAGCTTTTCTGTGTAAAGATAATACCTTCCTGAGATATTTATTTTTTTCTAATTTGCCATTCATATTGAAATATATAGGAAAAAATGCGTAACTTTCCAGCATATTTCATATTGTCTATGCGATGATGTAGAAAACAGACTGAACCTTAAGCACCAGATACTTTTAAAGCAATTCTCATATTCTATGCCTATGGAGCAGTTAGCTATGATCAGTGCAGAAAGATGGAAGTTTTTTATTATTATCTTTGTTACTTGGATCCTATAGTGATTTTTTTCCAGTAATTTGAGAACCTTTAGTCCCATCAGTTCAAACAAATATGCCATATTTGATGAATGAGGGAAGACTAGCTCATTGCAGCATCATGTTTGATACCAGAACAGATGTTTAGCTGGAAAGATAATGAACTGAACTGTGTTAAAGAAAGGAGCATAAGTTCTACAGAATTATTTCATTTACTATTCATTATTTCATTTGATTGAATGCGCAGATGTAGCATATTTGATTAAAAGTAGTTCCTGCAAATTGTGGTCAGATTTTGTTCAAATTCCTAGATGTGCCAATTACGATACTAAACTTTACACCAGCTGGTGTGTTTCTTTCTTCTGAAACAGATATATTACCTTCTAAACTTTGTCATAGCATTGTGATTAGAAGTAAATTTGAAGAGAAATTTTAAAATGCCAGAGTTTCTGGAGTAGTTGCTCCTAAAGACAATAAGGGCTCCTAAAGACAAGCTCTCTGTATGTTGTCAGATACAAAATCTTCACTAACAATGCAATCAACTTACCTACACGAGAAGGATGTGCTTTTAATGTAAATTAACTAATACAAAGTAAAATCACTGTAGGTTGCTCAAGATTTTTCAGGTAAGCTTAGGTTCTCTGCCGGGTCAGATTTTGAAGTGTAGTTTAGATAACAATCTTACGCACTGCAGTAACTAAAACACAGATAGCTGGGTACTACCAGAGAATTCAGAGGTCCTCAGAGAGGGACCTAATAAGACTGTTAAATACTGAGTGAAATGGGCTCCTGAAGAGGTTTAAGTGCCAGCACAGGAGAAGCCTGTATTTCTAAATAGTGTGCAGGTTAGCTAAAAAAAAAAAAAAAAAAAATCCAACCAAAAAACCCCAAACCCCAAAAACCCAACCCCCGCCATGCCCCATCCCCAAAGATTTTTCTACTAAAAATGGATACTGAAATTGACAGTGGTGCAGGAATGAGGAAACACTGACTATTTTCTGAAAATAGATTGTTCCTTGAGTAATAGCTTGAAGGGCTAAGACAGTTGATTAGGAAGTAAAGATTTCTTTTTATGTTGAAGATGATTAAGTTTACACTTCCTACCTTTAAGATCAAACCATAAATACAAAGCTATTCAGCATGCTTCTGTTTGAAGCACAGTCATTGTGCAACCTGGAACAGAAGTATACTGTCAGAAACTGGGCAAGTAGGAGATAACTTCGCCGTATTACGGAGTGATTTGGAGAATCATTATGAGGCAGAGTTCTAGGCTTTTGTCCTTTTTTGATGGATTATATGTATTTTTTTAATCCTCTAAGTATGTAATAAAACATGAATAAAAACTAGTACTGTACTTGCAAACATAATACAATTAAAAATACATAATCCACATTTTGGACTTTACCTGTTAAATACAGTCACATGTGTTTTCCTGAAAAATTACCCCACATGAAATGGGTATATAAATTATGTAACTGTTAT